GGGGCCGAGGGTGGCCGGGGCGGGCCGTGGACCCCAGAGCTCGCCTCTCCCTCCTCCCCGTCTGTCTCTGCCTCCCCGTCTCCCGCCCCGCATGGAAGCGCCCCTCACCGCCTTCCCACCCAGAGCGCCCACGGGCCTTTCTCGCTGTGTCTATTCGCCTGACATGCAGAACACGACCTCTGGGAGCAGGATGCCGACTGTCAGGGTCCCCCTCTTTGGGCCTGTCTTGGGAGAGAGGTTGAGTCCAGGGCGGGGCGGCGAGGGGCCCTGGGCCTGAGGCAGCGCCGGGAGGCTGCACCAGCTCGGCCCTGCGCTGTGTCTCACCCTGGGTCGGCTCTGCACGTGGGCCACACGGGCCACGGGGCAGGCGCCCACCCCAAGGGGAGGGCCGTTGGCAGCACGGTGTCCAGGACCTGCGCCCTCCCCGCTCCCGGTCCTTTGACCGCCCATAGCCTCTCTCGGGCTCCCTGGGCTCTGTCCTGGGTCCCAGCTCACCCGGGACGGGAGGGCCGGCGAGAGCATCACCTGCCTGGGGAGTGGCGGTGGTCCCAAGGAGGCCTCACCAGCGAAGGGGCCGTGTGCGTTTTATCGGGAGGGAGGAGACACGCGCGGCTCAACCAGGTCCGCCCCAGCCCTGCAACTCAGTCCCTTTTCTTTTGCCCTGCCAGTCCCGGCTGCTCATCCTTAACCACTAACAGTTCAGCCCGCAGCTCTAGACAACAGTAGTCGCGCTTTCCGCTAACAGTGACGTTCTCAGCTCTTAAAGAAAGCAAGACGTGGCGAGTTTTCAGTACGCTAAAATAAACGATTTTAAAATGACCGAGAGTCTATCACACACATACCCGTGTAAAAAGGTTGCAGATGCAGGGGCATCTCTGTGGGAACGTGTGGGGCATTTTGTCCAAAGTCTCTAAGACAGACAGAGAAGCCGCGGCTGCTGCTCCCTTCCCTCTGGCCTGGCCCAGGGTCAGGAGAGAGCAGGTAGGGGCCCTCGTGGGACCCCCGCCCTGCACTGGCCCAGCTGTTCAGCAGCGCGGGGGTGAGGGTGGCAGCAGCCGTGGCTGGCCCCTTTCTCTGCCGAGAGAGATTTTAGAAAACACTCATCTCCCCGAATTTCTCTTTGGTTGGTTTTGATTGTTTTCCCTTTACTTACAAGAAAATAAGATGGCAACCACTCCTGGTAACAATTTAGTAGTTCCTTTCATTTCAGTTTTTGTAAATTAGGAAATAATTCTAAGAGTTACTAAGGATGATTTATTTAAGAGAACTACGTCAAATAGCGAATGAGTTATGGGTAACATTAGATGAAAATAACCTTTCCCATGGGAGAGGTTTCTCGAAGGCATGGATGCAAATATAAAATATTAAAAAATCTAAATAAAGCTTATTTTAAAATATGATGGAATTCTATGTTATTTGATTGCTTCTATCTTGCTCTGGGCGGGAGGCTCTGGCCGGTTTGACCTGCTCCTTGGACCCCAGGGCTGGGTCCCAGGGGTGACGGAGGCCGAGGAAAGCTGGCTGGATTCGGCCCTCGAGGGACCTCATGGGGCAGCCTTCCAGAAACATGGGGCCTCTGCCTCCTGCAGTGTGGAGAAGCTGTCGGCCTGCAGGGCTGCCCTGAGGTCCTAACGCCCACCCACGCTGGCACCCCGTGTTCTGCAGCTCAGGGCCCCAGTCAGCTTTCGTCTGCTTCCTTCCCCGCCGCGCTCCTTCCAGAGACCCACGGTGGAGCCCTTGGGGGCCCTTACTTCTCGCAGACCTCAGTGGCCTCCACACCGTCCCACATTCCCAGCCTCCCTGGGGGACGCGGAGGAGCTTACGGGAGACAGGGAGGGAGCCATGGCTTCCTTGATTGAAGCCAGAATGAGCCAGGCCTTCGGAGGTCCCAGAGGCAAAACCTGGGTTCTCCCAGCGGGCTGCCACTGCAAGTCCCGAGAAGAGGGTGCCCAGACAGTCCCAGACCTGGACACGGCCAGTGCCCTCTGCCACCCTCTCCCAACTGAAAGAAACAGTTCTCCAGCAGGAAGACTGGCCTTGTCACGCCCCGCCGTCTCTGTTGGAAGAAGGCAGAAAGCTATGTTCTGTGTAGACTATGCCGGAAGGTATGAAATGGAGGACACCCAGGCAACGAGGACACAGGTGGATGCGTAGAATTGGGAAGATCAGGAAAGCTCAGGACCACTAGGAACCCAGGGTCATTTACCCCAGCAGTGCTCAACCTAGCCACAACTTAGGAAAATACCGGCGCCAGGTCATACCCCTGGGATCAGAGTATACTGAAACCTCCTCCAATGATTCTAAAGGGACAGCCAGGATTGAGGACCACGGGGCTGATCTGCATGCCCCTACTCCCCTCTCCCTGGCCCTGCGCAGATATCACTAATTGATTGAAGAGCCCTTTCTGCCCATCCCAAAGTGTCCCTTGACTTCTTAAGTTTCCATAGCCTCAGACAACCACTGCCAATCAATTAGAGTTGGCTATGAGGATAAAGCCAATTTTCCATCCCGAAACTAGCCCAACCCCTCGTGCTGGAGAAGGAGAAAACTACCCCGAAGAGGAATGACTTGGCCAACATCCTTGCTGTTGTGCCTCCAGTCCTGCAGCCTTCTCAGGGGCTGGGTCACACCTTATTCAGATCTCTGTAGCTCCACGCAAAAGCCACAGTACCTCCCTGGTTAAAAGAATCTACACAGGTTGTGCACTGCATTACTCCAGAAGGTGCCACGCTCCAGGCTGCTGTGTACATGGTGCCTTGCATTGTTCAGTGCACAACCTGCATGACTGTACTCAAAGGCACTTTCTGTGTGCTCTCCCTCCTGTGCTGACAGGCTCCAACAGATGTAACCAATAATAACAACAATAATCATACCTAACATTGATTAAACCTTTACCATAGTCCAGGACCCCTGCTGTGCACCTGACATGTATTAACTCGGTTAATCCTCCCAGCACCTTGTGTAATGGGTTAGAAGACTGAGCTCAGGTAAACCGTCCAGGGTCACAGAGCAGGGAACTGGTGGAACTGGGCGTCCAACTTAGGGGGCCTAGCTGGTGCCCTGGGACACATCTTGGGGCTTCAGCCGGCCTAACTTGAAGGTCTCTGGCCAACAGTAGCCTCTGCACAGAAAAGCACTGCCTCACTTTGTGACTGATTTGATTCCATCAGCCTTTTCCTCCCAGGCCCAGAAAGGTCCCCCAGCCCACCAGAGAGGAACTGGGAGGGGAGGGGTGAGAGCAGAAAGGGGGTGTCCACACTGCTCTCCATCCTTCCTGGCCAAGTCAGGAGCTGGATGGCCTACATTTGCCAGGACTAGCTCCGCCCTCAGCCCCCAGCCCCCCAGGAGGCGTGTGGCGCCCCTGCCAGCTACAGCGTGAGCCCAGGAGCTGCCCACCTGTGACAGATGGCGTGGGCACAGCTCGTGTCCCTCAGCCTGGGCTCCTGGAAACCCAGGTGGGGTGGGGCTGACCATGGGGACCACCAGCCCTTTTAAAAAAAATACCTCTGGGCCCTGTTGCCCAAAACTGCATTTTCACAAGACGGACCCCACGGCCTCCCCAGATGGCTCTTAGGCTTTTCAACTGGAAACCCCCTCGGGTGGGGCAGGATGTGCCCTGGTTCCCTCCCTCCCACCTGTTCCTGTTTTCAGTGGAAGAAGAGACTGATGATGATAAAAAATCATTAGGGAGCACATTCGTTTTTTCTGCAGATTACCAAAGGGCAGACTCGTAATTCTACATTTGTCAAGGAATGCCCATTACCTTAAAAATTCTTTAGAAGCCTGCATGTGAGAAGTTGTTTACATATCAGAGTTATGGCACACCACCCAGGAAGTGTCACTCTACAGGCAACTTGAGGGTCTGACTGTAGCTGGGCAGCCAGGGTGTGGCCATGGCACCGTGACCTGCAACCCCAGGACGCCCTAGAGCCCTGTTGCTGGAGTAGAGGCTGATGCGCAGCTCTGCCTCCAGGGGGCAGCAACCAGCCCTGGGAAATGACCTTTAAGAGGCCAGGCGTGGTGGCTCACGCCTGTAGTCCCAGCACTTTGGGAGGCTGTGGTGGGAGGATTGCTTGAGCCCAGGAGTTCGAGACCAGCCTGGGCGACAGTGAGACCTCATCTAGCCGGGCATGGTGGCGCACTCGTAGTCCCGGCTACTCGGGAGGCTGAGGTGGAAGGATCGCCTGAGCCCAGGAGGTCAAGGCTGCCAGATTGCATTCTTAAGGATGTACCAGTAAGTAGCAGTGATTTGCACCAATACCAGAAAACCTGTGAAATTGACTGCTATGCTCCCAGATACCCCAAAGAAGGGTTTGGTTTGCCTGTGGGAAGTCCTCTGTGCCCTCCAGTGGGCCCCAGGCCAGCATCCAATTTCAAGCAAGTTGTTGGACCTATGAGCCTCAGTGTACCCATCTGTAAAATCGGTTTAATACACTCTCCCTCCCCAATAGGCTCAGAAATGAGAGCTGAGTGTGTTTTGGAGACTAGAACGGGCTGGACCCACAATTTGTGTTCCCGTGATTTGTGACATGTGGATTAAAGTCCAACAGGAGGTAGGAGAGCCCAACAATGGCTTCATCACAATCTGTCCCTGAGGGTGAAGGCATCGGGCTGCATAAGTATCAAGACCCTCCAGCCTCCAGGGTCTTCATACCAGGGTTGCTCCAGAAGAGAACCCAGGCGGCTCCAGCTTGAGTTTGAGGCTGTTGCCCTAGAATTCCCCAGCCCTAACTCTCTGGAGGCCAAGTAGAAACCCACTCGCTGCCACAGCTGCCATGGAGGGAGGTCTAGCCTCAGGCAAGCCCTCAGGCTGCCCCCATGGCCGGCAGAAGGCCCAGGGTCAGCGTAGGGGTGGTGCCCTTGCAGGAAAACGGGGGGGGGGGGGGGTCAGTGCCCAGGGCAGCCTGGTCTGGCATGAGGCCGCCCCACCTAGGGAGTGTTTCCTTTGTGCTGAGCCCCTTCCTGAGCTCTTGCGAGAATATTCACTCAGGTTGTCCTTCCAATGACTCTCCAAGGTACATATCATCCCCCACCCCCGGCACAGAGGAGCATACTGAGGCACAGAGAGGTGAAGGTCCTGCCCAAAGTCACACAGCGAGGAAGAGGCAGACCTGGGACTCAATGCCAGCAGGCAGGCTCCAGGGGCCGGGTTCTTGGTCACTCTGCTGTGCAGTCTCAGATCAAACACTGTCCCCTCTCCTTCCCCTCCCCCCGACCCCCCGTGGGGTCTGTAGATCAATAGAAAACTTCAAAGAACATCAGAATGAGAATCTCATGGGTAGGATGAGGCCAAGCCTAAGTAGCCCAGCTCTTTAGGGCTCTGCTTCTCAACCTCAAAGAGGAAGAGATTGGAATAAATAGGAGGGTGGCAGAGTGTGTTCCATGGAACCCTGAGAGGCTCCTTGGCGCCCCGTCAAGGGACTGTCATAGCTGGGGAGAGAACTAGCTGGCTGGGATCGAGCCCGCCTTCCCAGGAGCTCTGGGCTTTTCTGTTACACAGGGGACTTCACAGAAGAGTCTGAACGAAGGGTCCCATCGTAGAAAGGGTGACCGAGAGAAAGGAGGCTTAAGGACCAACCGCAGGGAGATCAGTCAGTCGTCCAACCTGACCAGGCCTTGGGCTTTAAAGACACAGCTTCCCAGGCCCTGCCCACACCCACCTGATCTGAGAGGTCCAAGGGGAGAGGCCCCAGGACCTGTGTGTGTGGGACAAGCTTCCAGTGTGGACTCAGGAGGCTCCATGGTGGGGGGGGGCAAAGGTCAGGGTGCCATGCCCTGCCCACATGCTGAAGTGCAGACTTGCCCAGGGCTGTCCTGGGTAGGTTGGGACCACCTCCCTGGGCCGCCCCAGGGTCCCCGACGAGGGAAGAACCTGGCCTGAGCCAGACTCCAGGCTGCCCCATGAGACAGCCTGAGTCTCGGGCCTCGCTGGACCCCGCAGGGCAGAGAACAGAGGGCACCAGCTTGTGGGGACCCGCGCCTCACGTGGGCCTCGGAAGCCAGCAGCAGCGCCCCCAAGAGCGGCACAGAGAGGCTCCCTGACGAGATGCACAGCCAGGAAGGGGCAGAGGAGGGGGCCAAGCCCACGGAAGTCCGAGTTCTGAGCAGGAGGTCCACCCGGCTCCTCGTACCCGCAGCCGACGACCGTTCTGCCCAGTGTGGGGTGGACCTGTGGGCCTTGCCTGGGGCCTGTGGTGTTCCAGGGAGCCTGGACCGTGAGCCCCGAACTGGGAGCGAGCCAGCCTCAGATGCACCCTGGGACGTGGGCCCACAGGCCTCTGCCCAGCCTTGCCCCGAGGGTCCTGAGGAGACCAGCCTTCTCCACCGGAAGGAAGCCCCCGGCCCAGCACCCTCAGGACCTCTGACCTGCTCTGGACTCCTGGTGTTCCGCTTGGTCAAGGACTCACTGTGTGACCACAGGCAAGTCAGCCTCCCTCTCTGGGCCTCAGGTTCTCTAAACCGGCCAGGGTAGTGTGGCCTGTGGAAGCTTAAGAGTCCCCGGGCTTGCCTAGAAGGCAGTCAGCAAGGGAGAGGCTGCAGCAGCCTTGGTAGAGGCCACCGCCCTGCCTCCTGCCTCCCCTGACTGCTCTCTGCCCCCGAGCACCAGTTTATTCTAGTTTATTCAGCCTTAGATACGAAGGAAGGTTCTGTGGCCTTGAGGCAGCGTTACGGCAATGAGAAAACCAGGGTCAGATCCTCCCTGAGCTCCCTCCGGGGTGTCAGGCTGTTTCCAGGACAGGCGGGGGACATCAGGGAGTGGAGGGGGTCACTCCCATGGTCCACCCCCACCCCCAGCCCAGGGAGAGGCAGAGGGAGCCCCTCCTCTACAAGTCTCTGTTAGATGAGGCCACACACATCCTCCCCCAGCCCCCCAGGTCACACCCTTTACAGTTTGCCACGCCCCGGAGGGTAGACTCCTGGGTTTCAGCCTCGGGGATAAGGAACTGTCAGGTAGGGCGGCCGCAGTGTGACGGGAACTAAGACACATAAGAGCCTTGGCACCATGGATGGCACTGACCGTGATGGTGAGGACACTGATAACCATCTTATTTCAGGCTCTCCCGGCCCCTTTGTACAGATGGGAGGACTGAGGCCCAGTGAGCTCAACAACTTGCTCAAGCTGCCAGGACCAGGGGAAGCAGGAGCTTGGAGGCTGCGAGGGCTCTCGGGGGTCTCCTACCTGCTCCCCTCCTGTGCAAGTGGGTGGGGCTTATCCACATTTGGGCAGGGCATCAGTCTGTGGGCCAGGTCCAGAACCCAGGATGCCTGACTCCCTAGCTAGTGCCTCGAGCTACCGCAGATCATAAGATTCAGCTGGAAAGAAAACCAAAAATCCCTGGGTCCGTATGTTTTGGAATCACTGCGTCGTGTCTCTACCCCTTAGAGACTGGCACTGCGCCTTAGCTTATTAAGGCTCTGATAAGTTCTGCAATGAAGAAAAATAGTTCTTATGTGCCCACAGAACTATCTGTGCCTTTTAGTTTCGTTCGATGCGTCACCTGTTTGGGACAGAGGACATCTCCTGGCCCCTTAGTTCCAAGATTCTGTGCTTGGAAGTGCCATGGGGGTGAGTCTATTGGTGGAAGGCCCAGAGAATGGGTGCACCCGTGTTGCCAGGGCATCTGGCCCCGTCTGCCCTCTCGAGCACGTGTCACCCTTCAGCGGCTCTGAGCTGCCTAATTGCTTTCCCAGGGGACAGGCCAGGATGTCAGAGTCACATCCGCATTGACTCCTGCCTGCCCAGGCCAGCTCCCTCCCTCCTCATTAGGAGGCTGACATCTCCAGGGTGATGTGGAGCTCGTAGCCCAGGGCACGTGGCCAGGAGGGTTGAGGCAGCCTCTGACAGCTGTCACTGTAGAAACCAGGGCTGTGGTGACAGGGAGGAGACTCGTGACAAGCCAGGGGAACCCCAAGGGCCCATTCACGAATGGAGGGTCAGAGGCCACAGGCCTGGGTCACCAGCAGCTGCGCGGGCGTGTGGGTCAGCTCCGAACTCTGTTGCTTTGTGGATGTGTGTGTGCAGGAGACGCAGGCTTACCTCGGTGACAACAAGCGGCTGCAACTGACCAAAGTCGGCCTCCCACAGGGAGGGCCAGACCCAGGCTCTGGGAGTCAGTGCTTACCAGCTGTGCAATCCTCAGCCAGTCATTTAGTCCCTGCGAGCCTCAGTTTCCCCCTCTTTCCAATGGAGATAAAACACCTTGGCTGCAGCAAAGACGAGGCCACAGGGAGCGCCGCACAGCCCGACCCGTTGCGGGTGTCAGTGTTGTGAGCCCCCCGCAGGCAGGACAGCACCAAGGAAGGCTGGACTCCGGCTCTGAGTCCCGGCTGTGCGCAGATCAAGTGGCTTCTCTGAGCCCCTCTCTCCTCTTCTGTAAAACGGCCTGTGGGAGCCCTGAGTGCCCTCACAGGAGACATAGTGGGCTTGTGCTCAGACCTGAGAGCACCAGGCAGGCGTCAGCCATGGAAGATGGTGAGGCCCGCGGGGTAACACCCACAGCACCGAGTCCTGGGCCACAGTGACAAGGACCCCTTGGTGAGCTCTCTCACATGCCAGCACCGGCTGGGCCTCTGCATGCCCCGTCTCAGAGACCAGGGGACCCAGTAAAGGTAGGCAGCACCACATGCCCTGTGGCCAGGAAGCCACTCCGCTGGCTCCCAGGGGCTGCTGGGGCAGGGCCCGGTGTCTCCAGAACTCCTGATGATCGAGAGACGCCAATAATGTCACATGACATACCCGAGCCTTCAATACTAACAACTCACTTTTTAAAAATTTAGTGTCCTCTGGGGGAAAAAATCCCACGGCCCCAGTTTGCCTCCGGGCCCAGGGCTCTGCCACCTCGGGCCTCTCTGTCCCCGCCCCCACCCTATGGGCATGTCCGGCTCTGGAGGCACCTGGTCGGCCCCTTTGGGAACCCCCAGGCCTGCCCGGCCGTGGGCTCCCATCTCAGCTGGGCACCGTCCCCTTCAGCAGAGGGCCATCCTGCCCCTCCCCCTGGAAGTCGGGCCACTGCATCCACACACATTTCTGAAGGCAGCGTGGTGTCCCTGGGCTTGGCGTGTTTGGAGAGTGGCGGAGGAGAAGGGAGAGGGGTCTTCCCCCAGCACTGCCCTCAGAAGCCCTGAGTTGCTGTGGGAATCCTGAGTCCCCTGCCCCCATTCTGAGCTGGGCTGCGTGAGTCCTGGTCAGCTACCTGCAGCCAGGTGGTGCCAGCGTTTTTCACGGCTCTTCTGGAGGCTCTGGGACTCAGAGATGGGACTGGGGGCCTGACAAAAGGGTGACCCCACACCTCCCAGAAATCCCGGGGGCTGCACCGTCATCACCATGTACAGCAGCTGACCTCAGAGGCCCAGGGATGCAGAGAGGGCATCGGAATGAGGACTGAGGACAAAGGCTGGCCTCGTGGGGGTGCGGAGGGAGCAGGGTGCGTGATGAAAGCTGATATGACTTGCTGACGTGTATATATATGTTTTTTGAGTCAGGGTCTCACTCTGTTGCCCAGGCTGGAGCGCAGTGACACAGTCACAGCTCACCACAGCCTTGATCTCCTGGACTCAGGCGATCCTCCTCCTCCAGCCTCCCAAGTGGGACTACAAGTGCCACCACGCCCGGCTAGTGTTTGGGGTTTTTTTGTAGAGATGGGGTCTTGCTATGTTGCCTAGGCCGGTTTCAAACTCCTGGGCTTAAACGATCCTCCCGCCTCAGCCTCCAAAGTGCTGGAATGACAGATGTGACCTACTGTGCCTGGCCTTGCCAATATGTATTGAGTGTCAACTATGCCAGGCATTTGGTAGGCACTTTGTGGACACTCATTCAACCATTCAACAAACACTGACTGAACACTTCCTGCGTGTCAGGCTTGGGTTGGGGATGCAGATGTAAATGACAATAACACGGTGTCCTATCAGAGTCCTCATCAAAATCACATCAAGTATGGATCCCTGTCTCTACTTTACAGATGAGGAAACTAAGGCTCAGAGAGGTGGCACAAGTAGCCCAAGGAATAAAAGTCCCATCAGTGATGGAACCAGGACAAGCATTGGGATCCAACTGTCGCATTATGTGCATATGATTGAAACTGATAACTTATGAACTGTTCTCTGATTTCCAGAATTTTAGTGCTGGAGGGAGACAGATGTGAGGGTGAAGGGCTTTAGTCCCCATTGAAGGAGGTTACCTAGGAAGGGAGGAAGACATGTTACAGAGAGGGCAGGAACTCCCTAGGACCCTCTGCCTCCTGACATTTCCTCATCTGAGTCTCTGAGTCATGAGAACACCCCCGTCTCAGCCTCCCGGAGGCTCTCTTCCTTTTGAAGGAAGTTATATAAATACTACTCAGAAGCATGTTTGCTGGTCCCCAACCAGCCTTTGTGCAACCAGTCATGAATGTCACTCAGCACCAGTTTAGGAAACGTCCAGGAGGCAGGTGCAAAGCCTTTCGAGGGAGGCCGGGGGTTAGACAGTTTGCATGAATCATTTAAGATGCTCCCACAGAAGACAGCACCTCCACGTGCCTCACCCCGGGCTGGAGGCTCAGGACCCGACCTAGTGGTAGATCCTGTGTCCTGGGGGGCAAGTGGACAAGGAAGCGCCTGGCAGGGTCTCACGGCCATCACAATGACCACAGGGGTTCAGGGTTCAGGAGAGCAGGACAGCTAAACCACAGAGAAACTAAGCTGTGCAGACGCCTGAGAAGGAATGCTCATGGGGGAGGGGCTCTATCCAGCAGAAGAGGCCAAATGGCTTGAAAATCTCTGAAGGGGCCAGGCGCAGTGGCTTAGTCTGTAATCCCAGCACCTTGGGAGGCTGAGGCGAGAGGATTGCCTGAGCCCTGGGGGGTTCGAGACCAGTCTGAACAACTTGGTGAGATCTCGTCTCTACAATAAATCACACACACACATACACACATGCACAAAAAACTAGCCAGGCATGGTGGCGTGCGTCTGTAGTTCCAGCTACTTGGAAAGCTGAGGCAGAAGGGTCGCCCGAGCCCAGCATGTCGAAGCTGCAGTGACCATGAGCGTGCCACTGCACTCCAGCCTGGGTGACAAGAGCGAGACTCCAACTCAAAAAAAAAAAAGAAAATCTCTGAAGGGCACAGCTGGGGCCCACACACCCCAGCAATCCATCATTCCTACTCTGCTCCCCAGAGCTGTCCAGACGCACACCTGCTCGGCCTCTGCGTAGGCATGTGGAGAGGAATCACTTTCTTGC